TGGATGGGCATTGATGGACCAAATGGTTTTTCACGGTTCAACATAAAAGCATATGAATCATTATCGGTTTACTAGTCCACTGGTTTACTATTTAACCATAATTTTTTTAAAGGTACTCTAGCATAAACTAAGATCATCAAACCAGAATTATTAATTTTATTTCTACTTACTCTTCTCATTTTCCAACCTCGTTGTCGACTTTACGCGGTCCACTACCCATTGGCATCGTAATTTTTAACTTGAATAAAAAAATTATGATTTCTTTTTGGAGACAGTTTGAATGATTTGTTAGATATTTTAGTGATGATATGAATTTGAAATTGTTTATGGTTAATGATAACTTCATTCTTAAATTAGTATACTATATAAGTCTTGAATGTTATATATAATGAACAGTTCTATCAACAGTTTGTAACGGCTAATCACTGAACCCTAAACCACTAACTTTTTCGGTTCAGCGTCCGGTCCGATTATGAAAACAAAGCCTGGACCAATTTAATGGTCGGTGCCTCCTCTCTCTTGCATAGGTGGTAGGTCGGTCTCAACTAGGGATGGCAATGGGTCGGGTTGGGTCGGGTTTTGCCAAACCCAAACCCAAACCCATGGGTTTATCTTTGAAAAAAACCCGGGGTAAAACCCACTGGGTTTGAAAAACTCAAACCCAACCCAACCCGTTGGGTATCCGCGGGTACCCACGGGTTTTGTCGTAAAAAATTTACAATTACAAGTTCTTATCAAAATTAAAGTCAAATATCAATATCTCAATACAAATTATCCATATATAAAACACCATTCTAGAAAATTCAAGTAAATCACAAATTAACTATACAAATTGTTCAACACCAATCTAGAAAACTCAAGAAAATTGAAGCAAATCACAAATTATCCATAGATAACATGTTCAATTGAAAGCTTCTTCCTTTCAATTAAGTTTCTTTACTCTCCACTCCATAACATCAACTTCATTCTACACAATTAAAAAGAAAAAATTAGACTTGTCTCCACAAACATAAATAAGATTAGTTGTTTAGAATATTAAATATACCGAAAAAATTAATTATATGGGTGGGCGGGTACCCACGGGCCGGGTTTGCCTAAACCCAAACCCAACCCAACCCGGTGAATAGTGAACGGGTTTAAACCCAAACCCGGCCCAAAACCCGTCAACACGGATTTTACCCGCGTTGACCGGGTTGGGTCGGGTGGGTACCCGTGGGTTCGGGTTTTGTTGCCATCCCTAGTCTCAACTGGCGAAGTGTGTGACAAACCAGTAGGTATAATAATGACTAAAAAAAACAAAGTTTGGGATCCTTACGGAAACCAAGCCGGCATGGTGGCAAGGTACTAGCTTAATGAGACTCAAAAAACAAAGTATAGAGATCAAGCCGGAAGGGTACAACCCGATGAGACAGAGCTGACAAGGTGGCCAAGTTGACATAATATCAAAGTCGAAAAGACGACTTGGTGGCAAGATGAGGCCACTAAGGTGGCAACTTGATGAACTATAAAAACCTGAGTCTGGAGACCCTGATAGGGTACCATACCAACAAGACGGCAAGAAACCAACTAGGGAGTCATTCAAGAACTAAGTGAAGAGACCAAGTCGATAAGAGAGACTTGGTAGAAAGGCAAGGGTGTACCAAGCTGGTAATGCATTGAGGTATCAAATTACCAAACCTTGCAAAAACTAAGTATGGAATGGAACATGGTACCAAACAGATGAGACGGGCTTGGTGGCAACCTGATAGAGTACCAAGTTGGCAAGACAATATGACCTGACAATGTGGCAGGCATCAAGCCAGAACGATTCAAGGGCTTGATGGCAAGGAGGCATGGTATCAAGCCGGCAAGGCAACTAGGTACGAATTGGGAAATCATCTAAAAACTAAGTATAGAGATCAAACCGACAAAATGAGCTTGGTGGCGAGCTGGTAGAGTCCCAAGTTGGCGATAGGTTATCAAGACAACAGGACAGTCTTGATACTGAGATAACAAGTTGATACCATGACGAGCTCCCTAAAACTAAGTGTGGAGCGTTGATGGAAAAAGGGGCTAAGATTTCATCCCATCAAGGTGAGTGACAAGGTCTAGCTAATTGGGTGGCTAGTAAGACAAGGTTAATAAGCTGATGAGGCGGTCTAGGCTAACGAGGCGAGGATGGTACCAAGTTGGCATGAAAGAGGCTCTCGCATATCATCAAGGTGGTAGTGGTCCCTAGAAACAAAAGTGTGGCAGAGGTAGCTAAATAAGAAAAACAAAAATTTAAGTACGGGGGAGGGGGGTATTGAGAGCATTAGGGGTGTAATCAAGACGTCATCATGGAGGTAAGACAAGGAGGCTTTAATACCATCCAGTGAAGACAAGGCGAAGACTTGGTGAAGTTCAAGTTCAACTCAACACCAACCTGGACTTGATGTCGATACCATCAAGCTGATACCAACTGTTGTCAAAGCGGCAACAAGGGGTCCCTGAAGCAGTTGGAGCAACCGGCCATCTAGCGGTTATCAAGACGGTTACACCTTATGGCTATAAATATGAGAAACAAAGGGTGGAAAAGGGTCAAAACCAACACTTGACACCCAATGTCAAACTTCACATTTGCTCTACAAATTAGTCCACGGTAGTTTCTGGACCTCTCGATAAACCTCCAAAGGAGTAGAGTAACTTAACGTAGATTTTCCAAACAAAATCATAAAAAACATCAAACACCCTCGTTCCAACATTGTTTAGAGGGATGTGAAACATTTTATTATCATTGTTCAAGAAGTCAAAGCGATAACCCATTAATATCAACACAAGTTTTCTTGTCAAAAAAACAAAAGTGCATCGCTTCCTCCCCAACCGATTGCGTGTCAACTAGAGCACATCGGAAAGGGCTGGAATCAGCGAAATAGCAGTGAGGAGGAGTTGATCATGGTCTCCCACAAACTTCACCGGAGATTTCTATTTTGCTACATATGATACTGTTTACCTCTTCTCTTTGTGGCCGGAGTGCCCAATTAATTTAGGAAAACAATTCCATAGTATGATTGCTCTGTTTCTAGGTTCGTATACCAGAGGGAAAAGAGGATAGAGGATACCGATTACGGCAAAGCTCGCTAGCGGCTCGAATTCAGAAGCTTGTGAAAAACAGTGGAATGGTAATAGAAGGGATTGAGTGTGGGTTGGCAAAGAATCATTTTCTCTATCTTTAATGGAGCAAGTGGGATGATTGAAAGAGGGAGAGGGTGTTTGACTGAAATACTCTTGTGGGTTGTTCTGATGTCGTATTTGGAATTAAATACCACATTTTGTGGTATTTTGTCCCAAATAACACTTTCGGCTGAAAAATAAGGGATGCATCATTTGATATATGTTATTATACAAATATGACAAACTTGTTATTTGACAAATAGTAGGGAGTAGGGTGATATTCTCCAAATAATAGGTTATCGTATTTTCGGTTCCAATTATGTCTTCATTTCTTTTTTGTAAATCTCAAACTATCATATCCTTTTCCATCCCACTTTTTGTCTATTATTTCCCAATTATCCTCATAACCATTATTTGGTTACTAGTCTTAGGTTAATTATGTCTAACACTAACAAAGGCTCAATATGTGTTGACACACTATTCTATTAAAACCAGGGACGGAGCTAGCGTGTAAGCAGGGGGGGCCATGGCCCCCCCTAAAATATTAAAATCCAACTTTGCACTAACAATACATAACACAAGCTGTGGTCTAGCGGTGTGTACATATAATTTTGAAGAGGAGGTCTTAGGTTCGATTGATGCTAGCTGCAGCTTTGAGTTTTGTAAAATTTTGATTCCTAAGCTCAAATTTTACATGTTTTACGATTTGGTACCTAATTTTTCATTTGGGTACATTTTTTGCCCATTGTCTTACGATTTGGTACCTAAATTTGCATGAATAGTTTAAATTCATGAAATTTTGCTTCTTAATCCCAAGTTATGCATGTGCGATTTGGTACCAAATGTTTTCATTTTAGTACACCTTTTGTCCCAAATTTCGCATACATTACGATTTGGTACCTAAGTTTTCCATTTTAGTAGTGTTTTTTACTTTTTGCCCATTATCTTACTTTGTATCGGACTTTCTCATCCCCAACCTTTCTATACAAAACTCTTCTACTAGTTAAAAATAGACTTCTATGTGTCAATATTTTGGTAATTTGTGTTGAAAAATAAATAACATAATAAATTCTTACTTCAAAATTTTTATCGGCCCCCCCTTACCTAAATTCCTGGCTCCGTCCCTGATTAAAACGACGTTAAAACTCCATACATGTTAATACCGTTTAAACTTTTAAATTTTGTATTGTGTAACTTATGCGCATCTTTTAAACACACTATTATATTAAAATGATGTATAAAAGTATGTACATATTAATATTATAACATGTGCATGTGACCAACCATGTACACATGTTGACCAAGCGAGCAAGAGATGTAGGTTAAGAAAGATAAATTGGTAAATTAATAAATTTGAGTGCAACACCACATCAACAATACCATTATTTATAATAAATCATCAAAACATGATATTCTGTACAAATACCACATAGCAAATGACATGTATTATGACATGTGGAATTTGTGTGTAATTTGCATCGAATAACAGGTTTGATAAACACCACATCCAAACTATATTTAGCATGGTTCTAACATATAGTGTGTTAGCAACCTATTCAGACCCTTGCAACAATATCAATAGACTTTTTATTTTTATTTATTGCCCAGAACCTCAGCCCCCCGTGCAATTTGTGACAACGAGGCCTATTAAACATGGGGGCCACCTGCAATCAATACAACACCAACGGGGCTTCGTCCCCAATAGCCTTTTATCTCAGGAACACCAACAGGCCTCACTTGGATTCGAACCTGGGATATGCAACTCACAAACCTTCACTGTCGCGATAGTTTTAACGTTAGGCTATCTTACCTTTTGGTAACAATACTAGTAGACTATGAAATTATGGTTTATGGTGATGGATTTGTCATTCAAATCACAAGCATGATGGATTTAATATATATATATTGTCTTTTGTAAAAGGTCATGTAAGAATCCTCTCAGGATAAAGTTACATATGAGCTCGTATACAAAGATACCAGCTTTTATGAAAGAACCCCTCGAGAACAAGATTCATGTATCACTGGCTACAAACTAATCCTCAATAGATAGAATGGTAAGCCGGATAATGTTATTTCACAAAAGAAGAAATGACGGAGAAAAAGCAGGTAAAGGTCAGACAAATGGTTTGCCATTCTGGGTTCTTTGTATAGGTCGATAACAAACTCCTGTCCCTGGGTGCTATTTCTTGCGGGCAAGGTAAATGCCAGATATAATAGCCGCGCCAACACCTAGGGAGGCAACGATCTTCAATACTGAAACTGTTGGTTTAGGGTTTGGAATTTTCAGAAGATCTTCCATCTGCAACCAGATTGAGAGGCATCCATCAGGAAGGACTGGTAGATTGCTTTTACAAATTAATGTCCGATCATTGAGCCAACTTCATTGAACAAATAAAATTGTTGCTAGAATGTTCAGATGTGCGGTAGATCTTGTTTGCTTTGATGTAACCCTAATAGTGAAGGGACTTCAGCTCACATGCGAGTAAGAAAGATGAACCGTTTACTCACCGACACGGGTTGCTGCCAATTCTTCTTAATTCCTTGAATATGTCCTCTTCCAATAACTGCAACCACTGATGAATGCTCACAGGCATATCTATGTAGCATGGTTGCCATATACCTATAGGTGAATTGAAAAGAATAAGAATTCATCGTAAGCAGAAACCATCTGACAAAAGCAACCAAATGAGCAAAGGATAGGGCAATGATCCCAGATTCATAATAATGGATGTCTAAGCAGAGAGCCATCAATATAAAGGAAAAGAAAGCAGTAATAAAACTTGTAAGTATTAGCTGGATGCTAGTGCACCACAAGCAAGAAATTGATCCTGAAATTGTGGCTACACAAGTTCTTGGGGAGATCCTTACGACTCCACTTTTGGAATAAAAAAGAAAAACGAGGAAGAACAAACAAAATACTAACTGATCTCGCTCATGTACTAGGGTTTCCATAAGAGTAGGGTACTGCTTGCTCATTTCTTGAATCACAAGAGTCACCATGTCGACATCATCCAACTCCTCGAGCTGGAAAATCAACAAACAAAATCATATTAGTTGCCTCTGCGAGGAAACTTCTCAAGCTTAAATCGACTTTTTTCGACTAATTTACCACCACTTCTCAGGATAAGCTGAGAAAGGAAAACATACCATTTTCTTAAGGTCCTGCGGACTTGCTAAGAAGACAGCATGAAAGATTAATGAGTACACCAGTTTTGCCTTGTGCCATAGTGGCATTTTTAACCATGTTCTTCGCAACGTTACCTGTTCAATTTGGCAGGTCAGATTGACAATATTCATGCAAACTGACTATACAGCAATCACAAGGAGTCCGTTATCTTAAACCAAATTAAATAATACCCCAAGGAATACATTATCCTAAAGAAATCACAAGCAATCCACCCACAATGAGGAATTGAAGAGGAAAGGCATACAAAAGCCAAAAATAGGACCTTGATTTCCATAGGCTCTCAACATGAAGTAATGCAATCCATTTTCTAAGTTCCAGTATCCAACATATCAAAGGCACCTCACCTGTACAGGTCGATCACCAAGTATCACAATAGCACCATACTTTTTTGCTTCTTCATATGCCACACGGAACTCAGAACCGGGAAATACCTCAAGCTTGCTAGCAACCTGAGAATGTATCAATAATAAATTGGCGAAACTGAATGCTTAGAACTACAACTTGAATTCACAGGGTGACGAGTATAAACTTTAAGTAGCGTATCTTGCCTTGGCAAGGAACCAGCTATATAGTATCCCAAACAAGTTGTGTTTCTTTTTCCACATCTCTATCATTTCTCCTGTAGTCGGCACCTGCTAAAACTTATAGCATAACAGCAAATGGAGACCACAAGAGTAAAAACGCACAAAAACAATTAGTGAGAGTCAAAGTGATGGAACAACAAATCGCAGTAAGGAACTAGCCGCATCTCAAGTTACAGATACACTAAACAAGACATATGATTAAGCATGTCCAAGAAGCTCACCAAAAGTTCGCTTGAGGCCAGGAAGCTTAAACAACTCCTCAACCCATAAATACACTCAAACATGGGAAGGGTTTCAATCAAGAACATAACACATAGAACCAGAAGAAAGAAAGGGAAAACAGAAACAAATACAAGCAGATCAAAGGGGTAGTTGCAGCACCTTTAAATTCTGAGGTGCCAGCATGCTAACTCGACTAGCGCACAATTCCAGAAAGACTACCTGTAGCAAACAGATACAAGCTTAATAGTAGTTTTTGCAGTCAAACAATAGATGGAAGAAAGCGGTTCACCAGCCACCCAGTCAAATCAAGAGGTAGTCTCAAAAGGGAAATACCTCTGGTTTCAAGTGGCGGATTACAACTTCAACTTCTCTGCATGATTCCTGCAATGACAAGTACATCATACATCTTATCAGTGTCCATTGTCTCAACAAGAAACATCAAAAGGAGCAGTGAAACTGGCTCCTTTACTCGCTTGTAATGCTGAGTTCCACCAACAACCTCAACCTGTCAACCATCGCTTGAACAAGAAAGAAATTACAACATTCCAGACAAATGAGACTAAATGTCTTAAATCCAGAAGAGTTATAAAAGAGATCAAGTCACAATCTCTCAGTTCACAAACTTTTTACAAGAAATCATCTTTCTGTCAGCTACAAAACGCATTCCAATCCAAATGAATGACAACTTTCATACTCGAAACTGTAATCAGTAATTCAAGACACAAAATCTTTCGCTGATCTAGTTTTTCATTCTCAAGGAAACAGAATTTCGAAATTCAAGAAAGCAATCACCTCTGAAACATGAGCTGTGCCGACCAAGTAGACATCGCAGGACCCAGTTTCAGCCTTGGACTCACAAGTCAGCACCACAACTCTCGAGAGCTCCTCGGGGGCTTCCGTCATCTCAGCAGGCTCAGCCTGACCGGCGGCAGTCCCCGACGACGCCACCACCGAGTGTCCCTCGTCCCTCAGCTCATCAGCAACATTAACGATGCTATCGCTCAGTGCCCCGCTGCTAGGATCAGGGTTATCGACGTGGACGAAGTCCTCTCCGGCACGTTGCGGCGCCTCCAATGATTCCGGCGGGGTCGGGTCCATCTTTGCCAAGGGGTTGGGATTTTCCTGGTCGGGTGGCGAAGGCCTGAGGGAGAATTCGGCGCTGCGATCGGACGGCGCCTTGGGAAATGTGTGAATTGTGGGCGCGGCGGCAGCGGTGGTGACGGCGGAGAAGCGGGATGAGTCGAGCGACTTAAACGGGCTAACTTGGCGAGCTAAACGATTCACAAACGACGTCGCGGTTGCCTTTATTTATCAATCCTGGCTTTGAGAACCATGCTATTGAAGGTCCAAATGGAGAGAAAATGGCGTATCGGAAGCGACGTGGGCGTTACATCCAGAATTAAAGCTTTACTTTTTTTTTTACGAGAACAGTTATATTGTTTTTTTTTATCGAGAACAGTTATATTGTTGTTATTTGTTAAAGATATTAAAAAGAAGTTTTTCAAACCACTATTTGTTAGTGTCCCATTAATAGGAGTTTTTTTATAATTAAAAATTGTTTAACATTTCAATAACATTTAAATTGTTTATGTATTTCCTTTTCTTTCTGAAATTTTTTCTCATCAATTCTTCCCAAGGTTGTCAACCCGCGGGTTGACCCATGGGTCGACCCAATTTGACCATGACCCGGTGAGAAAAACGGGCCGCACGCACCCACCGGGTCGACCGCTATAAGGTACCGGGTTGGAGGTCAAATTGTGTCATTTTTTTCTTTAGTTTGCGAAATGCGCCTATTTTCCAATTTTTCTTTTCGCCTAACTCAATCTTTGGAATACTAAGCTGAACATTTGAATATTTATGTTATATAAGTGTGTGTGAATTTTCACTATATGTTAGATCTAAGTACGATATGTTATTTTGGTGTAATATTATATGTTATAACTCATATGTTAGATAAGATTTGATATAATTTATGAGGATAAATACAATATAATGACTCTTTCTATATTTCTGGGCCAAACCGGGTTAAAACGGTTGACCCATTAACCCTTGACCCACTAGCTCGACCGGGTCCGGGTCAACCCACGGGTTGACAACCTTGATTCTTCCCCTTCTTCTCAAGGTTATCAACCTGATTCAGCTCGTTGGCTAGGTCAAGTAATTGGGTTGAGGGTTAATGGTAGACCATTTTACCCGGATATATGAAAAAAATTATTATATTGTTCATACATTTATAAATTATATCAAATCTCATCTAAATTCTTCTCCCTTCTTCCCAAGGTTGTCAACCCGATGTTGCCCGTTGGTCCGGTCAAGCAAGTGGGTTGAGGGTTAATGGTCGCCATTTTAACCCGGATATTTGAAAAAATTCATTATAATATTCATAAATTTATAAATTATATCAAATCTCATCTAACATGTGAGTAACATCAATATCAATATTTAGATGTTCAAGTTAAAATTCCAAAGATAGGATTAGGCAAAGAGAAAAAGTGGAAAAGAAACGCATTTCGTAAAAGAAATAAAAAAACAACGTCGTGTGACCGTCAACCCGGTAACCTTGCAGCGGGTCGACCCAGCGGGTGTGTGTGACATATTTTTCTCAGCGGATCAAGATCAAAATAGGTCACGGGTCAACCAACAGGTCGACCCGCTGGTTGACAACCTTTCCCATCTCAAGTATTTCTCTCTCTCTCTCTCTCTCTCTCTCTCTCTCTCTCTCTCTCCTTTTTCTTTTCTTTCCTCATAAAAGGCTCTCTCTCCTCATTCTCTATATATTCCCATGCACCCAATTCTTCCTCCATAACCCATGTCTAGGGATGACAAAGGGTTGGGTCAGGGGCGGATAGTACATATCTGTTACCCTACCCAAGTAGTTCGGCTTTTACCTATACTCATACCCACAGTGGATCAAGGCCAAAACAGGTCACGAGTCAACTAACGGGTTGACCCGCTGGTTGACAACGTTTCCCATCTCATGTATTTCTCTCTCTCTTCTTTTTATTTTCTTTCCCTATAAAACTCTTTCCCTTCCCATTCTCTATCTCATCCCATCCACCCAACTCTTCCTCCAAAACCCATACCTAGGGATTGGCAACGGGTCGGAACAAGGGCGGATAATGCATATCTGTTACCCTATCCAAAGTAGACGGATTTTACCCATACTTATACGCACATAAAAAAAAATCATGTAAAAAATCAAAATCATGCCCATCTAACATGTAAGTAACATTTATAAATTATACCAAATCTCATCTAACATGTGAGTAACATCAATACCAATATTCAGATGCTCAACTTAAAATTCCAAAGATAGGATTAGACAAAGAGAAAAACTGGAAAGGGACGCATTTCGTAAAAGAAAGTAAAAAACAACGTCGTGTGACCTCCAACCCGATAACCTTGCAGCGGGTCGACCCAGCGAGTTTATGTGGCATGTTTTTCTCAATGGATCAAGGTCAAAACGGATCACGGGTCAACCAACAGGTCGACCTGCTGGTTGACAACCTTTCCCATCTCAAGTATTTCTCTCTTTCTCTCTCTCTCCTCTCCCCCCCCCCTTTCTTTTCTTTCCTCATAAAACTTTTTTCCTCCTCATTCTCTATCTATTCCCATCCACCCAACTCTTCCTCCAAAACCCATGTCAAGGGATGACAAAGGATCGGGTAAGGGGCGGATAGTGCATATCTGTTACCCTACTCAAGTAGTTCGGGTTTTACCTATACTCATACCCACAGTGGATCAAGGTCAAAAAAGGTCACGAAAAACTAACGGATCGACCCACTGGTTGACAACCTTTCCCATCCCATGTATTTCTCTCTCTCCTTTTTCTTTTCTATCCCCCATAAAACTCTTTCCCTCCCCATTCTCTATCTCTTCCCATCCACCCAACTCTTCCTCCAAAACCCATGTTTAAAGATGGCAGCGGGTCGGGTCAGGGGCTGATAGTGCATATGTGTTACCTACCCAAAGTAGACGGGTTTAACCCATACTCATATATACCCACATAAAAATCGGGTAAAAAATCTGATTCGAGCCCAAATGTACACATTTTGCCCCTCATTTCTTGATAGTTTGACTTTGCATTTCATCGTTCCTCGACATATTTCACGCTAGGTTGTGCTTGTTTTGATACATTTCAGGTCCTAGCATGTGTGGAAGGGTTGAGGTCGAATTTTGGGATAATTGAAGGTCAAAAAGCACAAAAACCGAAGAAAAGCCCGTAGTCCGTGACAATTGCCCCGTAACAGTGAAGTGCAGGCGTCCCGGAAGCAGACGCCGTTCACGGTCAAACAAGGGAGTTCACGGTCTCCTAAGACCGTGAACTAGAGCTACAAACAGTGAACATCGAGCAGTCCAGCGAGGTTTCAGTGGTTACTAACGCCAGGCGAGTTCACGGTCGCTAAGACCGTGAACTGGGGCCATTAACCGTGAACCTAGGAGAGTGAAGCGGTGTGTTTTGGGGACGAACTGAGTACACGGACGCGTTTAGGTGTTCGCGGCCATGAACTGGCTAACGCGACCGTGAACTGATCAATTTTGGGAAAATATGAAAACAATAGCGGGGAGAGAGAAAGAGAGCTTCATTTTTAGGTTAGATTTTCATTTTCAGAATAAAGAGGATTCTAGTGAGAGGTTAGGGTTTCTTCTAGAGTGAGAAAGTGCAAATCAAAGGAGGAAGAAGGAGCTTTGGACCTGTTCCTAGCTAGGAGATTGAAGATTTCTTCATCTCAAGGGTATCTCAAGCAACAAGGATGAAAGATTGACATCACTTCATGGTTATTTCTTCCCTTTTTGTTGTTTTCTCTTGTTTAGCTATGGAATAGCCTACCTACTCTGCAACATCCCGTTTCGGCTAAAATCGTATTACTGTCGCTAGAAAATTTCACTGTTTAAAATCGAGCGTTTTGATAGTATTTTGGCAAAAATCAGTTTATCGATATATCGGATAAGTACCAATTACTATATATAAATATACCTATACTAATATTACTACACGTGTGTGCTGTTGAACCAAAAGCAAACTTAAACTAAAAATGAAAAGAAAAGGACGGAAAGGATGAGGTGGAATAATCACTTACCATTATATATATATATATGTACGTGTCCTCTTCTCCCATTCCATTTTCACGTTCCATCTTTCCTTTTTTGTGACTGAGAGATACAAAAGCATAGCAAGCAGAGCAGGAATAGGGGAGCTCGGTAAAATTCCAAAGGTCCAATCTTGAGCCCTAGTAATCCAAAAATCCCGTAAGTAATGCCTAATTCATCTATACATCGTGATTTATCGATTAAGAGATTTTAAACGAGTTTTTGGTTCAGGAATTTCTTGAATTTCCAATAAGTTAAATTAGGGTTTCGGAGTATCCGGAAGCTGGATTGACCCCAAATTTCATATACGAGCTTCCTGCAGCGAGATAATCAATCTTCTAGTTCTAATCCCTGATATTCGGCAATTATTTAGGTCGGGGTCCTAATCGCTGAATTTAGATCCGGCCAGGGTTTGATGTGTTTTTATCAAGAATTTGACCCGGAGCCTAGAACTAATATTGACGGGGATACTGCAGGGGATATTAGGACAATCTCGGATTTTGATTCCGGGTTTGTTTGAAAAAGTGAAGTTGGGGTACGGGAGGCTAGAACCGGTGTTTGAACGACCAAAACTGGTGAGGGATTAGCACGGCATACCGAGTTTGTCGTATCACGATAATTATATTGATGCTTAGAATTGACCTAGGTGAATTAGAATGGCATGATTAGGGGTGTATGGACTTTTGTGCTATATGATGAACCTTGGACTGTTGTATGATATTATTGACTTGCCCTAATCAATATGGACCTGGTTTATGCTGATGATTGTGCATATGTTGCAAATTGTGGGCTTGACTGTTGATATGCTTTATGATGGCTCGAGAAAGTGATTGGGTATGATTTTTCATGACTGATGTATTTGAACGTACAAGTGGGAAAATATATATCCCATGGTGATATTATGATGTTCTAGGAGGATGACTTGCACGAGGGTTTATCCCGATGAAGTGCAATTATACGACTCCTGATTTACCTATGTTGAGCCAATTGTGGCCGGGTCAAGTACATGTGTAAGTAACGAATTATGATCAAGTAAGATGAGATATGAATCATGTATAAGGATATCAAATAAGAGTGATTTGGTCTCATGGTCAATTACATAGTAATTAGGGCTCCCCATGCTATTACTCCGTTTTGATATGTTATGTCACACCCCTGATGTGGTGTTGACCATTGATTCATCATGAGATATGACCACACCCAGAGTGGTGTTGAGTCCGATATGACCACACCCAGAGTGGTGTCAGGTCCGATATGACTACACCAGCAGTGGTGGGTCCGATATGACCACATCCACGAGA